AATATCTGTATTCTACTTTGATGTGAACCGAACCCGTCTGTTTTTGATGTTTTTTTTTTTTTATGATGATGACAATGATGCTAACAATTTGCCAAATGTGTTAACACTAAACATTGTGGATCAGGGCCTGGAAGTGGAGTGTTTGGGTGTTAAAATGCCATTTTAAGTGTTTGGAAGAATCTGGAAACTGACTGACTCTGAGGCAGCTCACCTAACAAAGGAGTTGCACACAGATTTTAGAATATACTGCAGTAATCCTACAGTACAGGTGTGAAGCTGGCGCCCCATCCTGCAGGTATCCCCCTCAGCTGTTGTTAGCCAGTTCTTCTGTTTGGGTCCAGTAGCTGATAGCTTCTTCTGTGGTGTAAAGTAGAAACGAAGAAGCCAGTACAGAATATAATTTATCTGAGCTCTCGGTTTCTGAAAACAGGCAGACGTTTTACCTTCAGGTGAACCTTTGCCCCTCTGCCTCTAATTTCCCTGTTCTGGTAGCGTTGGCCGTCAGCGGGCCCTGCTGATGCATCAGGGACACGTTGCCTTGCTCAAGGGTACGTTAAGAGCAGCTGTTGAGAGTTACACTTCTATGATTAGAGAAACATGCTAGTACTTTAACAAGAGCAAGTGAAGGAAATTTAACCAATTTTGCCACAGAAAAAAAACTAAATCCTAATCAGCTCTAGAGCAGTGAAACCTCGAGCTACAACAAGGACAAAATAAAATGCTGTCAGGTTTTCATTGGATTTGTAAACTCTGGTCAAAGGGGCGTAATCCAGTGAAGTTTCTAAGTGAGTAGTTACATTTTTGGACATTTGATTTGGACCCTTTAGGAACGTTTACTAAGTGCAGTCCCTTTTTTTCCCTCAGTCAAGGCATGGCAAGGGCTCCATATTGAGACACTTTATTCCAGCCTTCTGCTAATGTGTTACTAACACCAGGGCTCTGTCTGAAAGCTCATACTGCACACTACCCAGACCTGGACTCTTACTGAGAACTGTGGCAAGCTGTTGCAGCTCCAAAGTGAAGTCACACATATAGTATGTAGCAGGAAGGTGTCTACACTTTATAGTAGATGACATGTTTGTTTCTACTGTCTCTCGTCAGTGGTTTGCAGTATAAGCGTGCCAGGACAGGCCCTTGGACACATTCTGCCAGTTGATATAGAATGATTGCTGTTTCCTTTCTAACCTCTCTTTGTGTCTCTGATTCCACCGTGTAACTTAAACAAGAATGAATAAAGTTTAGGGCTGTGTCAGACCTCAGTTGTGAGTGCGTGATGCTTCATGCAGATGGCCTCGGCTGACATGAGATCAGGTGCAAACCAGTGAGTGGTAACACTATTTGAACAGACCACTTTTGAAAATCAGTTCCTTCAAAGTGTTGAATTCCATTTACAACATGTTTCCTCCTGTCTGCTGTCGGCAGTAGTGTTTCTGTACGGAAGTGCATATCTATAAACTGATAGAGTGATCATTGTGACGGCGCATTGTGTTGCAGGAGGCTGCAGCAACACTGTCCCTACTGTCAACCAGCAGCAGTAACAAGGAAGATCAGTTCGCCAGTCAAGGCAGAAGGCCGTCCACCCAGGGTCTGTTGGAGGTTTCTCTCCACTGTCGCTACATGCAGTTCAAGGGGGATTTGTTGCAGTTTTCTTAATAAAAATCATCCATCCATCCATTATTTCTACTGCTTACCCCATGAATAGGGTCAGGAGCCAATGGGTGAGAGGCAGGGTCCACCCTGGACAGGTCGCTTGTCTCTCACTGGGCTGACATGTAGACAGACAGCCATGCACACCCACACTCACTCCTATGGGCAATTTAGAGTTGGCAGTCAACCTAAGCTGCATGTCTTTGGACTGTGGGAGGAAGCAGGAGCGCCCGGTGAGAACCCGGGAAGGCACAGGGACAACACGCAAACCCCACACAGAAAGGCCCCGGGTTGGAACCCGAGACCTTCTTGCTGTGAGGTGACAGTGCTAACCAACGCACCTCTGTTTGACAATAATAGTAAGGTTCAAACCTAACTTTGAATAGTGTCCAGAGATGACGTTTGTTGTGGTTTGGTGCTATACTAATAAAACTGAATTGAATTGCATTACATTGTAACTTTGTTATTATCATCATCTGTTGTGATTTGAAGTAGGTATGGCGTATTTAAACACCTCCATTTGACATTCGTATCTATGTTTGAATTAGTTGTCTTGCTATGTCACACCGAGTCCACCAGGGGTCACCCCAAGAAAGCTAATATACTGCTGCATCATACTGGAATGTGAAGGCGAAGGGTCATTACAAAATCAAACATTTTATTGCTGTTACTGATACAAGTTATAAGAATACATACTGCCTATAGAGATTAAGAGAAAAGTACAAAACATGAATCCCAGTATCAGTTGATCCATCTTTTATTCAATGGAAGTCCATTGAACTAATCTGATTTCTCACCCAGCCTATTCTACCCAGAGTTAAAAACCTGTGCCGGTCAACCCTGTAGGCTACTCAGTATTTTAGTTTGCATAGTTATAACAAGAGCACTAGCCATCATGACTAACTAGCAGCTAGCTAGCAGGCTGCATATAAAATTGAACTTATCCATATTCCTTCTGAATATTTTTTTTTACATGACAAAATTTGAAATGACAAAATTTAAAATGTCAATGTTTGTTAGTCCACAGCATTAGAACAAGTTACTAAAGTTTCCCACCAAAGGTGTTAAAATGTCAGCATGTGGCTGAGGTTAACTGTTGTCTACCTGTTGCTTCTGTTAAAGGATGAATTATTTTTGTACT